GGTGGGGTGGGGTGATTTTATTATATTACAGTTAAATATTTAATTTAATATAATAATTATGAAATGTAATTAATTAATTTCAGAAAAACCTGATTTTTGTAATTTTAAACTATTGGGCCTGATTTTTAATTTTGGAATAGTAAACACCTTACCCATGAATTTTTCCCTGGACAAATATCTCTATTGGTATGAGGCCTTTCGGGATAAAGTCCAAAAGCAAATTCATGAGGGCTTAGGTCCAAAGTGGACAATATCATACTAATGTGGAGATATGTGGTGTCCATAGCCCAACATCTTTCATCAAGCTGGTTCCATACTGATAGCAATCTTGTTATTCTTTTTTTTTCCTGCTCGTCATCGCGCATTTCTTATTATTTGATTTTGGTGACATCAATATATTAAAATGGCCATGATTGTCTTTTGATTTCATAGTTGAAAGCATGAACTTGATAGTCACGTACCTATGTTATTGTAATTGACGTCTGTCACGATCACATTTTGCTAAATTTCTGTGTTCATAGACTCGTGCAGATAACTCAACAATAGGACAATTAATCCTTGAAGATCGGGGGTTAAACTTTGGTGGTTATTTCTTTTGGAGATCAGTTGGTGCTCTTTTTGGTTTTGCAGTGCTCTTTAACATTGGGTTTACCTTGGCCTTAAGCTATTTAAAACGTAAGTACGTTGTTGAACACTATTAAAATGAAATTGTAGAAGATGAACATAATTTAATTTTTCACCTTTCAAAATGAATGCAGCTCCGGGATCTCGCGCAATCATTTCAAGTGAAAAGCTCTCACGAATAGAAGGTACTAAAGACAAAAACCTTACAGAAGCACGGTCCAATATTCCTATTCCTGGCAATAATGCTGAATCTCAACGAGGTTGGAAACTTTTCTATTATCTTTCTGGAAATATATTATGTTTTATTCCTTTATATGATTACATTTCCCCCTGTTTTCAATATATTTCCATTTTTTTCCACTTGAGGAATAGCTCATCACATGCTGCAGGAAAGATGATTTTGCCCTTTGAACCTCTAACCGTAGCATTTCAAAATGTGCAATACTACGTGGAAACCCCGACGGTAACCACAAATCTATTAAATTTGGATTTTGGATAGCCTCAAGTTTATTAAGAACCAAGTTACATGGGATAGAATGGTCCTTTTGTTTTGTTTTTAGGCAATGAAAGAGCGTGGTTTTAAGCAAAAACAGCTGCAACTTCTTTGTAACATCACTGGTGCATTTAGACCTGGTGTTCTTACAGCACTTATGGGTATCAGTGGAGCTGGCAAAACAACACTTCTTGACGTTCTTGCTGGTAGAAAGACTAGTGGAACAGTGAAAGGAGAAATTAAAATTGGAGGGTATCCTAAAGTTCAAAGGACATTTGCTAGGATTTCTGGTTACTGCGAGCAAACTGACATACATTCTCCTCAAATTACCGTGGAAGAATCACTTATTTTTTCTGCTTGGCTGCGTCTCGATCCACAGATCAACTCAGAAAGAAAATATGTATGTCACCACTCGTATAAAAGTTCAGATTTCGACCTGGTTTTACATCCAACGTCCATGTCTGTCTGATTTCAGTGGATATTTTGTAGGACTTTGTGAAGGAAGTCCTCGAGACCATTGAGCTTGATCGAATTAGAGATGAGTTAGTGGGGAAGCCAGGTATCAGTGGTCTATCAACTGAGCAACGCAAGCGGCTCACCATAGCCGTGGAGCTTGTCGCTAACCCCTCCATCATTTTTATGGATGAACCTACGACTGGACTGGATGCTAGAGCAGCAGCTATCGTCATGCGTGCAGTAAAAAATGTGACAAATACTGGGAGAACAATTGTTTGCACCATTCACCAACCAAGTATTGACATATTTGAGTCATTTGACGAGGTAAATAACTATGAACTATGTTTTAACAGTATTAGAACATTACCACTCAACTTTATAAGTTGTAAATGGTAATATTAATCGATTAGAAAAGATGTGTGCACTTTGATTTCCATATATTGGCTTCATCTGGTACCTATTGGAGCAAGCTTTGGTTATTAAAATTCGTAGGTACTTGTGTGATAAATGGTGAGCATAGATAAAACTACACCTTAATTATAGTCAATGCGTTTCAGCATAAATGAGTTTTAAGGTAGAATTCTAATATGAATAAAATATTTGCTCCTCCTTTAGTTTTAGAGCAGAAACCATGATTTGTAATTGACTTCACATTGAGCAGCCAAAAAGTCGGTATAATATGAAAATCTTGGTGCGAAGTTAGTTACGCAAAAAGAAAAAAAAATAAAAAAATTGAGCTTTCGCACATATTGTACAAGACTTAATGAAGTTATATAGATTCACCAGGATAAAAAAAATAGCATACATATTTATTTGCTAGTTGCATATTGTCAATCTATCTTTTTTCACCTTACATTTTTTCATTTGCATCATTATATTTTACAGGTCATAATCAACTCTCTATCATGTATTGCTAAATTACTTCAAGTTCACAATTTTCCTTTCGAAGAATAGGTGCTGGTTCTCACATGGCCAAACTCGTAATAAACATTTCGTGGCCTTTAGAAAAACAGTAGGCTGAATGCTGTTTGATGGGTATTACCACCAAGTTGATATCCATATTGAATTAGGATGATATATTCATAGCCATTTCTGTCTTTGTATTCTCTGCATAGAATACATTTACATATATATCACAAATGTGCCCTTTAACCTTTTGTAGTTACTTCTCTTGAAAACTGGTGGACGGATGATCTACTATGGGCCGTTGGGGAGGAATTCCTCTGAAGTAATTGAATACTTTCAGGTTAGTTTCCATCTTAAGGGAAATACCTCTTCGACAGGTTTAGTTTCCTTTTTTATCCACCCACTTGATCGACTTTTTTCTTCATCAGCGTGGAGCTTATTAATCTTATCATTTTCACTTCACGGCAGGGTATATCTGGGGTGCCAAGAATCAAAGATAGATACAATCCTGCCACGTGGATGTTAGAGGTCACCTCGACATCTTCAGAAGCTGAACTTGGAATAGACTTTGCTGAGATTTATAAGAATTCTGCTCTTTATGAGTAAGTCCAGTGCTGAACAACTTCACATGTTGCTACCGTAGACTGAGTTGTGAACATATTTGTTGGGACTTTTCATGCATTAAATTTTATTCTCACTCAGCATTAAGAGAAAGACATGGATCTTTGCATTCCACATTTTCATACAAAAGCGTGGTCAGGAATCCCTTTCCGTCCAATATTCTTGGATCATTATCATGTTTCATTATCTTAAAAGATGAGTATCTGGACTATCATTGGACATTGATATGTTGTTTAGTCAGCATAAAGCTATGAGTACATGTGATGCATACATCTTAGTTCATCAAATAGTAATAAATTGTAACTTGAGCACAAAAGCATCATACTGAATCTCGAGTTCAACTATTGATTGATCTGTATGTTGTTATCTACTCATAATATCTGGATCTAAGCAGTTTAAGATTTTTGCTATGCTTGACTTATATTCTATTATCTTGGCTTGTAGGACTAACAATGAACTTGTAGAAAATCTGAGTAAACCTCCTCCTGGTTCAAAAGATTTGCATTTTCCAACCCAGTACTCACAAAATGGTTGGGGACAATTCAAAGCCTGCCTCTGGAAGCAGCATTTGTCTTATTGGCGAAGTCCTACCTACAACCTGATGCGATTTATACATATGCTTTTCACATCTTCAATTCTTGGAGTTCTATTTTGGGGTCAAGGGAAGAACATGTAAGCAGATTAATTGCAGAAAACACATTTTACATGATTAGGCATTCTTCTACAACATTAAACTGAGCCTGTATACAAACTATATTGACAAAATCTTTCGAATTTAAATTTCTGATAATCTTTTCCATCCAATGAAAATTTCGATAGTTGTCTTCATTTCTTGATTTCATTTTCTCATTTGACAGAAATGAAGCACAGAACATATTCACTATATTTGCTTCAATGTTTAGTGCCACAATCTTCTCTGGCATAAACAACTCCACTACAGTTTTACCCTATGTGACCACAGAGAGAACTGTTTTCTATAGAGAGAGGTTTGCCGGAATGTATGGCTCGTGGGCTTATGCAGCTGCACAGGTATAACTACTTAGCAGATACTCAATTTGATATTCCTTAAAACTGATCTTAAAATTCAACGAGTTGTAAAAGCGTGCTGTTTTCCTTGCATGTATAGAAACAGATCTTGTAACTTTTCTATTGAAGCAAGTTATTGATTTTTCAGGTCATTATCGAAGTTCCATATATCTTCACCCAAGCACTCGCATATACAGTCATCACATATCCGATGATTGGATTCTATTGGTCACCCTATAAGGTGTTCTTGTACTTCTATTCTATGTTTTGTATATTAGCATACTTCACTTATCAGGGAATGTTGCTAATCTCTATGACGCCAAGCATTCCACTAGCTGCCATTATACAGTCAGTCTTCTACTTGATGCTCAACCTGTTTTCTGGATTCCTCATTCCTCGCCCAGTAAGCGTTTCCTCTTTTCATTAGCATTATAAATCGAGCATGTGATATTAGAACTCTTTTTTATCACTATAATTTCATTCTATAGTGCTACATCCTAAACAAAACACATTTGTTGTTTAAATTTGCAGCAAATCCCGATATGGTGGGTGTGGTTATATTATCTAGCTCCTTCTTCTTGGACATTAAATTGTATGCTTACTTCACAATATGGAGATCTTGAAAAAGAGATTGATGTGTTTGGAGAAACTAAAACAGTAAAAACCTTTCTAAGTGAATTTTTTGGGTTTCACTATAGTCAGTTACCTATTGTGGCTGTACTTTTAACTCTTTACCCTATTGTTTTTGCTTCTCTTTTTTCATATTGTATTGGGAAGTTGAACTTCCAAAGAAGGTGAAAATATGTAATCATTTGCATTTGTGTATATGTATCGAAAACAAAGATTATTTTGTTGTATTCTCTTGCAAAGTGAAATATAGCCTTTTTACCTCACTTTTTTCTTGACTATACACCACTGCTCCATGAAAAAGGTATTTTACTTCTAAGTTGATTGTTTGGCTTCAAGATTGTAGTAGATAATTGTCTCCAATCTATGCTACTGATAACTTAAATATACACGTAAAATGACAGAGGTAACGACTGTGATGCTCAATCACAAGTTGCGCTTCTTAAAGTTGAAACAATACTATTTTGTTGAAAGGTAATATAAATATGCATTTTCTCCTCCCATTTTCTTCATGCTACATTTTGAGTGTAAATCACGCATGGTAGGATGGCAATGGAGAGACTGAGATGTAGACGACAAAGTTATTGTGGTTCAGTTAACTAAGTATGAACCCATATGAAAGTTTTTCTTTTCAAACGTCAAACATCTTGTT